ATACTAAAAATGGAGTACCTTTGCCATATATGGGCGGGAATTGCCCAGTCTTCACTTTCCAGTCTTGATAGAATCCCAATGCGTCTCCGCGTCTTTGACGACGAATTGTTTTCTAATCTGTAATCCCTTTTTCAGAGACGAGACGTCGCTAGCCTATCACTCCTGTATCGCAATTTCTATGGAGAGTGTTCCGCCAGTCTTAACCTTCATGACTACGACCCACCATGCCACGCACATTATAGTGAACTACCCTCATTCCCTAGTGAGATCTAAGTTCGAATCAAATAGCTTCTTCCCCCGGACCACAAACTTGTGGAAACAACTCCCAAGACGTTGCTTCCTAGATTACTACAATCTGTTCAAGTCTATGGTTAAACGTTATCTTCACCTCCAATCCCCAAAAAGGGTACCTCTTACTCTCTAACTATTATAACCTAGGGGAGGCTACTGAACAGAATAATCACACGAAGGATGATAATGAAAGATAATACTTCGGACAAGAACAACGCATATAAGATTCGCCAGCGGTGCGTAGAAGTAGTCAACTGCCAAAAGTGAGTCAAGTGAATTCCTCAATAAATCTCCAAGTGCAAGATATCTACAAACCGCAGTCAGATTTAGCACAAGGCCGAAATTAATGCGGGGTATCCGATCCTGCAGGCTCGGTCAAAAATTCCCTGTAGATCCTGTATAAAACAAATCAATCAATAAACACTATTCTGTCGATCATTTCCACGAGATCGTTGTTATGCGCTGTTTTTCGCTGTCCTTTTTTACTTTAATATGTCCTATTAGTTCATTCATTTAGCAGCAAGGCCACTGATCGTGAGGGTTTGAAGATCCTGAAACCATACATTGATTATTGTTCCCAGGTCCATCCTGACCCGGGGTGCTAGAACGTGTTAGGATCCCAACTATGTGCAAATAAGGAACACTCAAACTGGTGTCAAAAGAATATGAAAATATAAAAATAGCTTTTTATAGTAAAAATACCAGCAATACATTTTTTTAAAATATTAACAACAATAAAAATCCTGTCGGCATTAAATACCCCATTTAAGTTGATATGCTGTAAAAAAAACAAAAAACAAAACAAGCCCTGTGAGTGTTAAATTTTTTAGCTCCTTTTCCTTATTGGATGCCCTATAAATTTCAGCAGTTTGTTTCTGATGTTAAGTATATGTTGGATAAAAAATCCATTACTGCCTTATAAATCACACTCACACATACTTATGCGTGTGTGTTTGTGTGTGTGTGTGTGCGTGTGTATGAATATATAAAATAGAGAGAGGGCAAAAAGAGGGAGAGAATAGGAGAAAAAAATGAAAGAAAAATAGATAATACAACTCCGAAATTCTATGATATCAACATTAAACAATCAATGCTAACTTTTAGTTTAAGATGTTCTCAGAATCTAATTATCTGATCCTGTCTGTCTGTCTGTCTGTCTGTCTGTCTGTCTGTCTCTCTCTCTCAAGTCCATGAACTTATATATATATATATATATATATATATATATATATATATATATATATATATATATATATATATATATAGAGAGAGAGAGGAGAGAGGAAAGAAAGAAAAGAAAAGAAAGAGAGAAGCTTATAATCACATCCCGTTGAAAACCAGATCCCAAGTGACCAAAGAAATTCAGCAATATTTAACCTGGACCTGACATCGGCGAATACCTTGTTCTGTAAGCTTGGAAGTGCGGGTGGTGCAGTGGATAATAGTTCGGAATTGTTATTCGGAGAGCCGAATTTCGATTTCCGTTATGTTCCTTATATTCACTTACGCGCGAATAACCTTGGGACAAATATGAATCTACATCTTCTCTCCCCATCCTATGGGTTAATTAGTAAGACATGTATCACCAAACCATTATTAACATTAAATTAATTCTTACAATCTAAAAATATTTTCTGCAAAGGGTTGATAAACCGTAGAAAATGAATCAATGAAAAAAAACTATATCGCGAGAGAGAGAGAGAGAGAGAGAGAGAGAGAGGGAGAGAGAGAAAGAGAGAGAGAGAGAGAGAGAGAACTCCGTGCCACTTCGTGTGTAAATCCTTTTTTATGTATTTTTTCTTAAAGTTGAATTATGTGAACGATTATTTGATGTTTATGAACGTTTACCAAATTTGCTTCCGTCCACCCCAAGCCACTATAAAATATGAATTCCAATTTAACGTCGCTATTGAGGGTAATGTGTTGTTTTTATATTTTCAATTAACCTCAGTTATGAATATTATTGTGGAAAACAGTTCCTTTTGAATTCTTGACGATTTGGGTTTGATTCATATCCATCACTTACACGATTAATATGATTGTTGGGCTGGCCAACAAATTCGCTGAGATAAAGTTTAATGCTCCAGTCAAGGCAAAGTTAAATGTGCCTTTTTTGTTGGTTCTCAAGGCAAACAAAACAACTAACATTTTGGAAGGATCATTAAAACAATATTTTGGTAAAGGGTTGTTCTGCTAAAGTAAGTTAAGCTTAATCTACATGGTTGGACAAAATAATTGGAACACTTATTAAATTCAAAGAAAATTTATTCAATATGGAGTCAGTCCTCCTTTAGCCTCACAGACAGCTTTAATACGTCTAGGAATGGAATCATACAGCTTCCTGACTTCATCCAGAGGAATTTTCAGTCATTCTTTCATTAAAACCTATTCCAGCTCTTTACGACACGACGGTGGAGGATAGCGGCTCCTAACTTGTTGCTCCAAAATGCATCACAAATGATCAATAATAATGATATCTTGAGATTGGGGAGGCCAGTCCATGTGTTCTAGCTCACTTTTATGCTCTTCATACCAATTCTTAACCACTCGAGCAGTATGTATTGGAGCATTATCGTCTTGGAAGATGCAGTCACCATCAGGGTATAAAGTCTTGGCCATTGGATGAACATGATCTCCCAAAATGTTCAGGTAAATTTTGCTGCTGATTCTACCATGCAGGGCAACTATTGGACTGAGACATTTCCATGATATAGCGGCCCAAACTATCACTGATCGAACTCCATACGTCACTGTTTGAAGAAGGTAGCCAGGGTTGTAAGCTTCTTTGGGTTGCCTCCACACATAAACTCGCCCTGAAGTTGGGAAAAGAGAAAAACTGCATTTGTTTGAGAATATGACTTGCTTCCATTGTTCTGAAGACCAGGCATTGTGATCTCTGCACCACTTCAACCTCTTTTGAATGTTGCGAGTGGAGAGAAGAGTTTTCCTCACAGCGGCTCTTCCTATGCAGCCTCTTGGAGCTTACGGTGAACAGTTTTAGCATAAAGTGAACTATTCAGATGGTTATTCAACTTAGCAGTCACTTTGGCCGCATTTGTCCGATGATTTTTTGCCACGTTGCGTTTCAATGCACATCAGTCCCTGTCAGTAAGTTTTCAAGTCCGGCCCGAATTGTTACGGTTGCTAGATGTCTTGCCGTGTTTTTCGAATTGCATCAGTGTTCGTGATATTGTAGCTCTTGAAAAACCAAATAGTTCAGCAACCTTAGTGATCGAGGCTCCTGCCATGCGAGCTCCAACAATTTGCTCTTTTTCGAACTCGGAGAGGTCACGTATTTAGCTTAAATTTTACTAAATTCTAAAAATAAATAAGACAAAGACAGCAAATTAGATAAATAAACGTATTTACAATAGATATAACCTGCAATTACGAAGTTTTAGTTAAAGTTCCTCATATAATAGCTCTTCGAAATATAGGAGTGGATTTTGCAACCATTTTGTCCAACCCCTGTATATTCAATAACTTGTTACACTATATTGAGTGGCTCGCGAGACTCGTATTTGATAAACAATTGTTAAAAATATATATTTTATCTGAATGCAGTTACTGGAATACTCTGATCAATGGTTCATTCGTTTGTCTCGTTACCATTTATAAGAAGTGTTAGAAAACTAGTCTTCGGTGAACGCCCTACTCTCTCCACTTAGCGAAAAGAAGAATTAGTTCCATGTTAGATTATTAAACATTTGTGCTTTTCGTTTTGTTTATTTTTCATAATGACCTCTCTTGATAAGATTTTTTCGTATTGAGTTGAACGCTATATTTTTTTTTTTACTTTGTTGAATTTTTATTTTAGATATTTATTGCGATTTTTGTGTTAATTTTAATGTAAAAATATTTGAGTTTGAACGAATTGCTTTCTGTATTTGCCATTTTGTGAAACTGAGCGTGACGAGACGAGGTTGAAAGCTTTTGAAAAGCATAGAGATATCAATAAATGTCCGACAAAATCAAGATAAAGTATTGAAATTATTCTACAGGGTCTGACATCAAGCCAGATTCCTGGTGATGGCTTGACAGTCGAGAAGCATAGCAGAAACAGACAACACGAAACAAATTATCTCCGCTTATGTCTTTTCTTTGTTCATTTTCCATTATTTGTTTTGTTTTCTTCATCTTCCTTCTTTTCGAGAATTTTCATCTTCCTTTTCTTTTTCTCCTTTATGATATACATCTTTTTCTTTTTCTTTCTATAATCATTCTTCTGATATTTTCTGTCCGTCACTTTACATGTTCTCTCCATTTTTTTTTGTTTCCTTCTTTGATAAAAACTTCTGTCATTTCTTCATAATATTTCTATTCGCCATCATTGATGGATACTTTCTTCCTTTTTTGTTTTGCGTTCTGACTGCTCACCTGCGGAACCATTTCAGTTTTCTTGCTCTACAATCTCTTCTTCATAATCACTTCATTCAGTCTTTCTTTTGTTTCCTTTCCTCTTTCATGGCCACATATATGTCCTTGATCTTTCCGCTTTCTTCTTTCATTATAAAAGACATCATTCTTTTACTTTTTGACAATGCTTGATGAGTAGTTCATAATATTATTCTCCCTTTCTCGTTTGTTAAATAAATAATTCATTTTTCTTTCTTTCTTTCTTTCTTTCTTTCTTTCTTTCACTTAATTCTTTCTTTCTTTCTTTCTTTCTTTTATGTGGCTTTCTCTATTATTCATTTCTTCATTTCTTGATGACGAATTCCTTCTATTCGTCCGCTTCTATTGTCTTTTCTTTTATTCCGTCTTTTCTTTCCTTCTTTAATATTTCTTTCCTGATATCTTTCCTTCCTTTGGTCCGTTCTTACTTCACTCTTTTAATCCTTTCTTACATCCTTTCTACCTTACCTGGTATATTTCATCCACAGTTTCTTTCTTTCTTTTTTCTTTCTTTCTTTCTTTCTTTCTTTCTTTTTTTCTTAGTTGCTTTGACCTTTATTCCTCTCACATTTTCTCCCTAATTTATTCCTTCCTTCTCTCCTTTTCCCTCTTTCCCTCCCTAATTCGTTCTATTCCTCTTTAATTTCTTTCGTCCTTCTTTCCATTTCTTATCTATAATTCATTCTTTTCCTCCTCTATTCCATTATTCATTCCTTCCATCCTTTTTCCTTCTGTCCCTACCTAAGTCTTTTTTTTCTTTCATTCTCTCCTTAATTCCTTCATTCTTCTATTCCTTTATTCAGTCCTACTCTTCTTTATCCCGTCTTTCATTCCTTCCTTTACCTTCTCAATGCTTTCTTTCTCTCATTAATAGCTTCCATTCTTTTATAAATTCTTTCCCGTTTATATTCAACTTTTCATTCCTTCCCGCCTTTATTCCTTCCGCCTTCACTAAGTTCTTCCTTTTTTCCATTCATTCTTTTATGCCTTTTCTAATTTCTACCTTATGTTATTATTATTCCCTTTGTCCTTCCGTCCGTCCGTCCGCTCATTCGTTCGTTCGTTCCTTCATTTCGCAATTTTCCCCGTTTATTCCTTCATTCATTCTCTCAATTATTCCTTCTTTCTTACCTTCTTTAATTCCTTACGTCTTTCTTGCCTTCCCTCCCACTATCCTTTATCCCTTTCTTTCTCCTCGTTCCTCTTTCTATCCTCTCTCCCTTCTTATATTTCAATTATTATTTATCCTTTCATACGCCTGTCTTCCTTGCCTTAAATAAACAGACGTTTTTATATAAATAAACATATATATCTTATTCGTGGTTGGCGTAGTTCACCGGTTCTAGTGGCGAGCGTTCGATCCGAGATAAAAGCCCAGATTCCGAATGCTTGATATTAAAGAGTAGTAGGATTCCCTACTTAGAAGTTTGGAGCATAAGTCAATGTAACGAACTTGGTTGGAATTTACTCACTAAACCGGCACCCCCAAAATACCCTAGTTTTGATGAGTAAGATAATTGGAAGATCATTAGCACAAAAAAACAAGTTATTAAAAGGCGGATGAACTCCTCAAAGTCAACGGCCATCCTCCATTACTATGGGTTAAATGTCTTCACAAACCCGCAACTGGCAAAGCCTGATGTGTACAGCTACATTTCTGTACATATGGTCAATCAGAGAAGAGTTTATCAAAACGTTTCGATCAGTTATACCATTCGGCTTTTTTTATGTGTTTGCTTACCCGGGTAAACTTCAGAGAAATTTAAACAGGCTGCTTTATTTAATCTACGAGAATATATTTTTCTGATGTTCATGTCTACGCATATCTCGTTTAGTTATTGCATGTTATCGCTGGAAACATCAGTCTCTTATACGTTATTTATGACTTCATCGTTATGTCACACGAGACGACATTCTGACGTGTCCGCCATTTTCTGGTGATTCAGAAACAAGTCACGCAAACAAATATTGATCTGGAGCATCTTTTCGTGACCCATTACAGTTGCGTTGTGTCAGATGCAAATATCTTCATTTCAAGATGCTGAAACGTTGGCATAAACAAATAACAAGATCATTTACGAAATTGAAAATAACTTGGCTACCGTTCCGAAATTATGAAATATATTAGAAATGTAAATGATCACCTTGCAAGAATTTTTGGCTCTGACATTTTAGGTAATAGAATATTAACTGCGTATGTGAGAAATATAGACTATTTAGACTTTAACGAATATCACGTAAATTGTTCTGATAAATATATAATATTACTTTTGTTTGATTGATATGCGATAGTTAAGAGTTAAAAGCACTCAAAATGAAAGCAGTTGGGTTTTGATCCACTGTGCATCAATTGAAAGGATTGCACAGGTGCAATTCTTTCACCCCTGCGTCAGGTCACCTCTGAGAAAAATACAAATCATTCATGAGAATTAATTTCAAATATAAAAGAATATAATGCGAAATGTTGTGTCTTTTAAAAGCCACGAAGTGTTTTAGAACTATTTTTACTGAGTACGTATTTAGCTGTCATTGTTTTTATTTAAATGGGTAAAATGCAGAATTTTTTGCTGGAATATGGAGTAAAAAATAACGCGTTTGTCCGAAGAATCTAGAGCAAATTACTTCGTCAAATTTACCTTTAACAATCACCAGACTTATTACAACAGGCACAGTTGAAAAAAACGCGTTTCTTCAGTTTGTAATTATATAGTTATAATTGAAAAACATTATGTCCACACGAAGGCATAGTAAAAAGTTCTGGGTCTGACACACATAACCTTGTAAGCATGTGTATTGAGTTTCTTATATAATTTGAAATAACAAGATGATACATCGACTTAGTAAATAGTGAAAAGAGAGCTCAATGTAATTCTTATTATAAAGCATATAAGTGAATTAAACTTAATGAGATCCAAACAATTTACCTCATACAGATGATCATTTCGTCCATGGGAAAGTAGTTTTTCCCTGGACTTATCAATGTAATTACATTTACTAAAAAAAAAACCCAAAAACCTACTTTCCCATGGACGAAATGGTCATCTGTATGAGGTAAATTTTTTGCATCTCATTAATTGTAATTCATATATATATATATATATATATATATATATATATATATATATATATATAGATAGATAGATAGATAGATATTCAGTTGCATGGATAGTAGTTTATACCCAACCGGGTTATATGCTTTTGCGATCAATCATCTGAATTTGTCTGACGATCGCAAAAGCATCAAACCCGGGACTACAAAATACTATCCATTCAAATGCATATGTTAACTCTATCACGGATATTGAGAATTTTCCACTAATTACCGCGCATAATATATATATATATATATATATATATATATATATCCATGCTAGTAGTATATAGAATCCAAACAATGGTAGAGAAATGAGACAGAGTGGACAATAACTCTTTGAACGTACCGGTAGTTCAGTGTAATGCATCTGGCCAGAGATTCGATTTAGTAAATGCCAGTCTGATCAGGAAAGAAAATGAATCGCGAAGAAGGAAATGCATTAAGATTGCTCTGATCTGAAGATTATCAACTATAATTCTAAGTAGAGACTCATACATAATATCACCGATCATATGCAATAGTAACATAATGCAGTATGCGATCTAACAAAGAGAATAACGGAGATATACTTGGATGAGGCTAATTTCAAATACTACAGACATTAATAGTATTCATACAAAAAAGCACGTTGTTTTGTTCTTTACTTCCAGTCGGAAGACGCCAACTTAGCAAACAGACATAAACCACTTTAACACAAAAAATATAATTTTATCTTTCATTCTGACTTGAAGACATCAACTTAACACACGAAGGCGAAACACGTTGTCATTAAAACGCTTTCCCATTTTATCTCATATACACACACACACACACACACACACACACACTATATATATATATATATATATATATATATATATATATAGAATGCTGCGCAAAAGGAAGTGAATCCCTAAGACAATATTAAAAGACTGTGTCTCTTTTTTATCCAGATAATCAACAAATATAAAACAAATCAAATATAAATTAAAGTATATATTCATAAAAAAACAATTTATCAAACGAATCACAACCATTTTAAAAATCTAATCATATTTTAATAAACATAATTATAATTTACGCTCTACTTCTGTATTTGGCATTTTTTTTTTAAATAAAAACTATATAAAATACTAAATTGCTTCGGATTATTAATTTAGGCAATCACACATGATCGTTGCAGGTTATAACTGAGTGAAAATGTATCAGAAGGTAATTTATGTAAGGCAAAGATTATGCGTGCTTATTATACATTATCCCACAACCCGTAGATCAAATAAAGAATATAAGGACAATTTGTATTGCAAGAAATTACTAAAAACACAGTGGTTAGAGATCCAACAATAAAGAGATTTTTATATATACAATAGATATACATGCAAGGATAACAGAATGTTTGTTGATTGTGGCAATTGAGACAAGGTTATGAAGAATGTTCATGCAGAAATTTGGTCAATAAAAGTTAATGATTTTGATTTGTTAGTGAAATTAAAATAATTTGGTTTCTGCAAGGACAAATCTCAAATGTATTCGTTCAAATATTAGTGTGTATGCGTGTCTTACTAGTTAGAATTTAAGTTGTGAAGAGTTGTTTGCCTTTAACTGTTTGGCTAAATTGATGAATTGTACAATTACTGTTTGTGTAGTGAAAACGTTCACTTTTTGAATCAATTGTAATTTGATTATGCGGACAATGGTCGATCGAGTGCTGTGTTGAGTTTGTTGAGAATTTTGAAGTTATGTTGAGTCAGTGAATTGACATGCGTGGAGTTTGGTAGCATCTCACAAAACTCGATGACTAACTGACTTGAATTGAGTCATGCAGTTGTTTATATAGACTTTGGTGTTTAAAAATCGGCTCCAGCGAGCTTCGGCGGGAAAAAGGAGCTGTTTCGACTTTGCTACAGTTTAGTGTTTCTTAACCAATACAAGATTGAATTTAGTGAAACGAAGTGGTGATTGGTTAAGGCTTTTTTTTTTAGGGAAGAATAGATCTTTCCGAAAGGGGGGGAAGGCTAATGTGGAAGATTCCACATGATGACCGGCATCGTTCAGAGTTTTTCGCACTGTAGACGTATGCATATTGATTCCGACATTTGAACTTTGGAGAACCGCAATGGTCACAGTAGGATTTTTCTAGGCTTTCTGAACTATATTTCTACTTCCTCTTGCAGTTATTATCGCGGACAACTTGATTTTCATGACGTCATACCAATGTGTTTCCATTTATAAATAATTTACAGCTCCCCAAATTAATACGGATAGCTATTTGTAGTCGTTTTCTCTATCATAATAGGTTCCAACTAGGCGATTTTTTGAAACACCAGGAAGATATATTGATCTTGGCGTATATTTTTGAAAATTTCGTCTCTAACGGCAATCTTTTGCATACACAATGAGTTATACTGGTGGACGACAGTATACACAGTATACTAAACACGTCATATTTTGATGTATACACGTTCACAATAAATTATTTCAACTGGCAAATATGTAAAGCAAAAATACAATGTTAATGTATGAGTTTACTTACTTTTGTACATCTTAATTTAAATTTTTAATTAAGACTTTTGATAAGAAGTTTTGAAAACGGTTGTAATTGGTTGAATAAAGATTTTTATTGATGAATTTGTAGTTAAAGTAAATTTGTTGAATATCTAGAAAAAAGAGACATTGTTGTAAATATTATCTTAAGGGTTCACTTACATTTGGCACCACACACACGCGCGGGCGGGCGTATATATAAACACTAATATTCCATGGTTATAATTTATTACATTGGAATCGTAATCACGATCCAATTCATCAGAATTACAAATTCAAAAAGAAATGGGAACATATACCTCCGGTTATAAAAAATAAAATTTTAGTGAGAGTGTATGTGTCGGAGTGGGAAACAAGTGTGAGAGGGAAATGTCTGAAAGCTATAGAGAGAGGTGTAACAGAAGAAAGAAGAACAGGAAGGCCTAAAGGCGAAGGTGGGGATTCAAATTTAACAGAGAGAAGTTTTAAAGAGAGGAGTTAAATAAAGGTTTAAATGTGTGAGATACAGATAAATATGAAATATTTTTCGATGCATAATTCGCTACCGATTCGCTGACCTAAATTAAAATTAAAAGTGTAATCAAATCAAGAGAGCGGTAAATAAGTTTAAAAATGGGGAAACAGTACAGAGGAAAACTGGATCAGGAGGTCTCAACAGGAAGA